ACACCTTTAAAAAATAATAACCTTTTTGTAGCACACCTACGATCCTCTCATGGAGCGCTGGTTGAAAATCACTGAAGTAAATACAAAGGATTTGGATAATCTATTTACAGAAGGTCTCTTTTTTTCCCTACTTATCAGCTGTCCCCCTCTTCAGATTAACACACACACACAAAAAATAACAAAAAAAAACTAATCTTTCCTGTCCACTATGCTTAAAGCTTCAAAACTAGCTCTGACATAGCTATTCTCTTTGCTTTGCTCATTTCAGTTAAACCAGTTTTAATAGGTCATAAATAGTTGAGATGAAGGAAAAGAAAAGTCAACAATTTATTACAGAGAAGGCCATCCCTTCAATTAATCTAAATAACACTTTTTTTTTTTTTTTTTTTTGCTTTGCTATGTTGGGAGTGTTTTTATCAAAGGTTTATTCACCCATGACATTATGCAAAACAGACTGGTGGGTAAAAAAAAAAAAAAAAAAAAAAAAAACTATTTTATTAAAAAAAAAAAACAAAAAAAACCATTTGAAAACATCAGATTTAATAATTCATACATTGAAAACAGGTGTAGCAGGTGAAGACAACCAAAGAATTAACATATGGCATCTGTGTGCTGAGATTAAATTCCAGATCAAAAAACTTGTTGTATTCACTTTGCACTAATGCCCTTGGAAAAAACATGAATTTCTCCTCTCTACACCCCCAGCTATAGTTAAATATCAAAAACAAGTTGACCTCTTTCAGATTGGTTAGAAACCAGTCTAGGAGAAGAAAAACTCTGAATTAAAACCCGGTGAGGCATAGCAAGCAACTCCACCCTCATAAAAAAAAAACAACCTACTTCCTACTGAAACAGCAATACCTTTTGTGACTCTGTTGTGTCTCTATGGAAAAAGACATAAATCAAACTACACCCTAGCTATAGGTCAAATAACAAAGCAAACTGACCCCTACTCATCTTTGTTAGCAACCAGTCTAGAAGGTTAACTGAATTCAAACAGGGTGGGATCTGGGTGAAGGGCTAGCAACTCTACTCCTAATTGCAGCTGAAATGGTAACTGCATCGTCTTGTAGGATCTTGTTGTGGCCCTATACACAACAAGCAGTCTACAGGTTTCAAGAAGGTAGAAAACCTTTCTGAAATGTTCACCCAATTACCAATCTTAGATAAATAACAATAACACTTAGACTGTATAGATTTTAAAAACATTTAAGGAAAGAAAGATAATTAATCATAAAACTATAATTATACAATTAATTAAATTATGATACAGCTTTGTGAAAGAAGATTTGAGAGAGTCTTCCACATCTATTGCAGGCATTCAAGGAGTTTAACGAGGCCTTTATTGGAGAATATTTGGTTTTGATTTAGCTGGAGAAGAGGTTTCCTGATAGATCATGTGCCATAGTATTGCCAGTTGAAATTGTACACCAATATCTTAGTTTACAGTAACATGCATGTATAAAGGTCACATAGTGACATGTATCAGCTTATCTGTGCAATGAAATTGTATACAAAAATAAATTGCTTTTATTTACTTACAAGCTTACATCTCTCTACAAATACTTTTTTTTCCACTAGAAAAATAACTAAAATGTCACATATAGCTTTTTTAATTACAAATACTTTTTTTTCACTAGAAAAATAACTAAAATGTCACATATAGCTTTTTTTAATTACTTAATATTTGCATCAGATTGTTTTCAGTTGGAGGATATTTAACCACCAAACCTAAAGGGGGATATCCCATAACTGACAACATGTTCCAAACCATCATTTTGCTGTTAACTGTCATTTGATGTTAGAAGTGTTTTAACATGATTCCTTTTATTTTTTTGATAACCTGTACATTTTAAAGAAATATTTTATTCTAACCATTTTCCTTTTTACAGAAAAATGGCAATAAGCAATACTGTTTATATCTTCTAAGTGGCCTGTCCTTTCACGATGTTAGGTGTTCATTTCTCTCCACAATTTCATGTCCTTTGTAGCTCTTAATAAATTTTATCTTTTTGTTATCTCTCCTAAACCCTGTTCTGCCATTCATTCACACAAGCTTTTTAGGTAAGTTACGGATTGTTTTGTTCTGTCCCTTTTGCCTTCAATCTGCCCTGTGAGTATCAGATTTTTCTACTTCAATGCTACACTTCTAACATCTCCATCTAAAACTCTGAACTTTTATTTACTATTGATTTACTTTTTTTTCCTCAATAGGAGTAGATAGGTTTGCCTATTGCCCAATTCACACTCCTCCCTAGTCTTCTGAACAATAGTAGAGGTTTATCTCTTGTTTCAGTATTTAGGATTTGGTTTCTAGTTCTTTTTAAAGTTTACTTCAACTCTATACTTCTATCTCTGCCTAAAACTCTGAACTTTTATTCACTACTGAATTATTTCTTTTCTCAATAGAAGATAGGTTTGCCTATCATGTGGTTCACACACCTTTTGAACAGGAGTAGAAGTGTATCCCCTGTTTAGGATTGCATTTCCAGTTCCTTTTAAAGTCTTGTCATTCTCTTTCATTTTTGGTGGTCCCATGCATTTTAGTGGTGCTTCTTACTCTGTCCCCCTTGAGTGGCTCTTAGACCTTATACAGAGTGAATATCATTATAAAAAATATATAATAATAATAATAATCTTTGAACAATTGTAGAAATTTAACACTACACAAATGCCAGGTGAGCTGTAACCCTTATGTAATTGCCCAACTTCCTGTAAACTTTCAAGACAACAAAGTATATATGTACAAATAAGCATATGCATGGAGTAGGGGATATAAACTTGATACTCATAAGCTTTGCTGAAGTTATTTCTTTATTTAAATGACAAATAGAAATTAAAGAGAAAACAAAAATCTTTTTAAGTCCTTCCTAGTATGTTGGTTATAGAAAAATAGTTAAAATATTTTACAAGTTCCCCAATAATCCAAAAGGGTGATTATATTACAATTCAAATAGCTTCAAGTACCTTTAGTTATTAATGGTATTTGTCAGTGATTTAGTAAGGATAAGATTGGTTACATTCAAACTGGTGTCCACTTGGTCATGGTTTCATATTCAAATGCTTGGGTGGTATTCATTGTGAAGTTTCCTATGAAGCATTTTAAACAGGTCAAGTGGAAATCAGTCAAATTATAGTTGAAAAGCTATTGCTGCTTACATTTATTAGGACTGATTGAGAAAGTCTCTAGTTATATGAAGCAAGTTTTAAACCAGAGAGAACAATGTAAGTTGTATCAAAATGAAAGAAATTTATTTCTCTTTAAAAGCATATGTTCATTTTCAGCAGTTTTTCATCCATCAAGATGCTGGTGCATCCAGTTGTGTCCATCAATATCAATGTCAGAAAATGGGCATTGGATGAAAAATGATGACCTTTTAATTTAAATAATAACCACAAATCAGATTGGGGAACTTTGACATAATGTAATGGTTAACAAGTTTGGCTCACTAGATCAATTACAACTGAGTAGTGAGTTTGGTCCTTATTGGGTGCTGCACACTTTCAGCCTTGTGCCACATCAAAGCTACACTTAAAAAATCATTTGGGGCACTTCAACAATGTAATGGTTAACAAGCTTGTCTCACTAGATCAATTTCAACTGAATAATGAATTCGATCCTGACAGGGTGCTCCATACTTTTGGCCCTGTGCCAGGTTTAAACTATGCTAATAAAATCGCCATATCTATTATTATTCATTTACATTTATCAAATGCCATTCTGTTATCATTTCCCAAATGGGTCCACTGCACAGATAAAATATGAACAATCCAACCCTAGTCCTATGAGGCAAGGGTTCTGAGTAACAGCAGACTCCCAAAAGGCAAAGAGAAGTGTACATTTTCAGGACAAGAGCTGATTATTTTCAGCACAAATCCTTTTACTACTCCAGAAAAAAATTCCTCCTCTACACCAGTGACTTTATGACAATATTGTACTGTTTTTTGAAAAAAAAAAGCCATCAATGCATATTAAAGGAAACTTATTAAAAAAAAAAAAAAATTCATTTTCTTGATTCAATACAAATAAAAAATATGAAATTTTAATATATTATCCAAGACATAAATTCAACATTTAAAATTATTTAATCAGATGTGTTTCTTTAACCTAACGTGAACAACAAATACTAAATTTTACCACTCAAATTTCATACAATTTATTTTGTACATGTTGGCCTAGATATATTCGTGTTTATTTCAAGTACGACGTTTATTACCTGTTATCAACTTAAAATCATGCAGACAAGATTTATATACATATGGCGTTTTGAAATTTAATTGCTATGCTTCAAGCACAACGAATAAAAAATTTAAAATAAATAATTTTTACATAAACCAAATCACATAGAATCAAGGGAGATAACTCAGAAACTATATTTGGAATAATTCCCCTTGTCGACCAAATCTTGATAGCAAGTAAATCAGATTTGTAGCATGTATACATTTCAGTGAAATGTATACATGTGACAAGTCTGATTCTCGCCTTGCTTATGGTGAAATGATCCAAAAGCATCAACATTTATTAACCACATTTCTGCATAAACATTCTTCATAACAATTTCTCAATTATCACATCAACAAACATTCTGTTTATCCTTGCATGTATATTTATTGTATATATAAAAATCTCTTTATGGTTGGATCTCTAACCACTGTGTTTTAGTAATTTCTTGCAATGCAAATTGTCCTTATATTCTTTGTTTAATCTACGTGTTGTGGGATAATGCAATTATAAGCACTCATAATTTTTGTCTTACAAAAATTTACCTTACATTTCACTCAGCCTACAACCCACAACAAACACACACAATTGGGGAAAATTTATACAATAGTTAAAATAAAAGCGGTGTCATTGGGAAAAAAAAAATCCTTTTGACGCACTGTCTTATTAAGAACACAAAGGTCCATGCTTGCCAAAAAATCCCATCTGCAATAACCTTTATGATTTTAACCATAATATTTTCAATGATTAATATATGACAAATACATACAAGACTTACCTCAATATTGACTAAGCTGTTTTCACTGGAAGTTTCCACACCACTTGACGAAGGCGGCCTGTCAACAGATTTTGTTGGGCTTAAGCTATGCTCACTATCACTGTTGACAGGTGTACGACTGCCACTCCCCATAGATTTGTTATCACTGACTGAAGACCGTGGGGAATGATCTTTTAATGTTCCTGTAGATGAAGCTGAGGACCCAGACTCATCATTGTGCGATGATAAACCATTGCAATTGATGTTCACATTAGATTCTGTCAATGCAGAATTAAGAGAATTAGTAACGTCTGCAGAATTAAAGGTTTCTTTGGGGCTAATTTGGCACTTTGTGATGGCTGTAGTCAAGACAGCTGTATCATGTATCTCATCATCATTTTGGGATAAAGATGTCACTGATGTTGATGGCGTTTTCACTTCAGCCTCTGTGGCAGGCACAACAACAGCAACAGCAGTAGCAGTAGGCGGCTTACTGGTGGTGGAGGTTGAAGAGTCTTGACCCGGACGTCGTTTAATTGTACCTGTATTTTCAGAGCTGTTATAGAGCTCATCTTCAGAATTGGAAGAACTTGAACCTCCTTTTCTATTCTGGAATCCAAATATTCCTTCTTGAAGAGGATTGTTAGGCGATGAAAGCCGTGTCAATGAGCCATTAGTTTTGATTTTGCTTACTGAACTCCGAAAATCGGTCTTGTCTTTGAACTCATTATTGCTGGAGTCAAGATTAATCTCTAGCAATGAAGGAGGTTTAATGTGCCGGGTTGCTGGTTGTGGAGTCTGAGTAACCACTGCTGTGCTACTCTGAGAAGATGATACCTGGTTCACTTGGAATGGAAGGGGAGAATTTGTGACAGTGCTCTTGAAATCACTACAGTTCTGTTTCTCCTGTTCAAGTTGTTGCTCATATTCAGCACACATGTTAAGAATTTCCTCCAATCGTTGACGTTCTAGCCTCTCAAGTTCTTGCTCCCTTTTACGCTGTGTGACAATTTCCCTATGCCGAATTGTCAGATCCTGCTGACTGGCTGTCAATTCATTGAAGTCAAAATCCATCCCTTCAAATGTGTTCCGTTTTACCTCTTCTAAAGAAACATCTCCGTTTGACATTAACAAACCATTGCTATGAGTTGCTTGGGTCCCATTTTTTAAAGGTGAAGAAATAGGACTAGTTGTTAAATCTGGAGAATCAGTGATATTTTTTGATGTGTTACTTGAATGTGTAGATGCTTTGTTGGATCCAGTGTCCCGAGATGAGGACATGTCAGAAGATATGCTACTGACACTGGTCAGTGAGGAAGAACTGTTGGAACTACAAGAGCTGTAGACACGATCTGGACTGCCATGAAGGACACTGGCAGATATTCGAGTGGTCAAAGTGTCTCGGGGAAACAATTTTTCTCCCAGATGAATTTGTGTATTAATACAAGGTTCTGGACTTTTAACCACTTCTGTCTTACACGTGGAAGCACTAGGAGATTTTGGGCTGCCTCGAGATATCAACTCAAACTTGCACACTTTATTGAGAAAGTTTTCTTGTTCTAAACTGTCTCTGTGATTTTCCTTGCCTGCAATTTTTGGAAGCTCTGGTCTTGTGCGTGCTGCTGGACGGGATTCAGTAGTTGTCCTTGGAGTGGGCACTGGTGGTGGAGTTTGTACTTTGACCTGAGCTTCTGTAATCATCTTCAGGTACTCTGGACTCTGCTCCAGCTCTGTAAAAATAGAAATTTATATTTAAACCAAAAGAATTGTAGAAATAAAATTAAAACATTTTTTACGGTCATTAGCAAGAGGAATAGCCTAAAGTGTGATCTACAAATTGTATCAGACATAGGAGATGTATTTTTAAAATTTAGAGACATTTGCAATATATGTATGGAGCAAAAATCCTGCAAACCAAAGTCCAGCGGCTTCTACAGTCTGAGCTAGTAGCTCCCACTTAGTTATTCCCACCACAGCTATGGTGATTGATGCTGTAAAAATGCAACAATACAAACATATAGCAATAACTCTTCTCTATTTACCAGTGCAATTAGAACTGGGGGAGTACTAACACATACAAATATCTGAAAAAATAGGGGTACTAGAGGAGAAAGGGTTAAGAACCACTATAATAAATATTACAAAATAAAGGTTAAATGATAAATTTGACTTATTAAATTTTATTAAAGGAAATGATTCCAATATCAAAGGTTAAATGCAAAGAGTAAGAGGAGCAAATGTGATAATGCAGAAGCAGACTGACAGAACCAACCCTCCCCAGACTGGTTTGAATTCAAAATTTTTCATCTCCTAGACTGGTTACCAACCAAGACTACAGGTCCCAATCTGTCCTGCTATTTAGCCATAGCTGGGGAGAAGAGATGGATTCAGACATTTTCCAGGGGTATTAGCACAATTTGACTGATTTGTGAACCCTGGCCACTATCCATTACTTCACTGTGCCTCCCCACCCTGTGTAAATTCATCATGGCAAAAATGAATTTAGACAAAAATATCTACCAACTACATAATAATTTTGTAACATTCACAAGCAGACAGGGGTAAATAAATGAAACATGTTGTAAAAATAGGGTGTTACTCTTCTTAGTTATGCAGTCACTTGACACATGATAAAATTAGGGTTCAATTCAAAAGCAATTATTTACTCTTTGAACTCCACATAACAAACATATGACTAGCATTAAGGTAGGAACAAATTTCAGCAACTTACTCTCTCTCTCTCTCTCCCTACCTTTGTAGCAGACACTTTAAAACATTTGATGTCAGTGGTACTAAAACAGGGTCAATATAGTTATGTTTTGTTTTTCTTGTCTCTCCTTCATATTCCATATCTTCTCTTTGTACTTTCTTGAACATGCTCATAACATATTTCTTGACTGAAATGCATCGTGATATACAAGTATTTTAGGGTAATTAAAAAGGACATTTCTAGTCAGTCTGATGCCTACGAGTGCTTTATGAATGTAATTTTGTCCAACAAACATCTACAACTTATGACAGAATAAGAAATCTTTTCCTATATTTATAAATTCAAATCTATAATTTTCATTATAAGCTACAATTTTTTTTTAAAATTCAAAAACAAATGAAGCATGCATGTCAACAGATTTGAAAAAATATACAAATTTGAAAACAAGTGAATTTTTTATTTATCTCAGTAATTAATGGATATATGCATGATGCCCAACTCAAAAGGGCCTGGTCTTAAACAACTCCAAGAACCAAGTCTAATAGAGTTCCATCATCAGAATTATCATGTGGATATAAAGTGGAGGATCAATTCTATATTACAACCAAGTCTAATAGTTTCATTATGGTACAAAAATATAGTTGAATGTAATAGGCTTGTCTCCCAAGGAGGATTAAGACCATGACCAACTAATTTAGTGTTGTGCATGTATGAGTGAAATAACTTCCAGCTGCTCATGTTTTCTTTACAACTCATTTGGAATTCATATCAAATACATTGCCATAATTATTATGAAATATATGCTTAAATCTTGAGACAAAAGGCTACATACAAATACCAATTGACTAACTGATTCATTTTCTACAGTTTATAAATCCTTTGCCAGTTATTTAAAGCCATAATAATTTTTGATTGTAAGAATTTTTTTAAGATAATGATTTAGTGATACAAGTCTTATTAATTAACCTACAACTGCGGGGAAAACAGGTGGATTCATAACTAATCAGAATTTGAGAAACAAATTATCATGTGGATATAAAGTGGCAACTCAATTCTATATTAGAATCAATATATAAACTGATCCCTCACTTTGAGACGACAGTAGTTTCTATACATTTATATTCCAGAGAATTTAAATAAATCTATAAGACATGCCTGTGTAGCTAAATAACATTTGATTGATTGATTCATCTTCTATAGCTTATCAACCCTTTGAAGTTTATTTAAAGCCAGAAAATATTTTTAGATTGTAAGAAGTTTTTCTTTTTTTTTTTTTGAGATAATGATTTACTGTCTTACTAATTAACCAATAGCTGGGGGAAGAACAGATGGATTCATAATTTTCCCAAGAATATTTTGCACATAAGTGAATATAATGAACCCAACTGGAATTGGAACTTAGCTCTCTGATTAACAATTCCAAGTCATTATCCATTACACATCCAAGCTTACAGCACCTGGTATTCCCAAGAGATCACCCATCTAGATACTGACTAGGGTCAACATTGCTTAACTTCAGTGATCATATGGGAACCGGTATTTTAATGTCATGCGGTCGTAAGCCTTACAAGTACCATGTATGAAAAATAAATATTCTGATGACAAGAAAAGAAAGTAACATAGTATACTTATTAAACTTCAATTCTTGAATTACATCATAAACAACTGCTTGATAACATGGCACAACGAGTAGACTGTATTGTACTTTAAAAAGTAACATATTTGATGTGACCGAGATATGGTACAATAAACAAAATGAAATCGACACTTGTTTAGGAATCAAATCATGAAAGAACGAAAGAATAATGAAATGCTTGTTTATCAAACACTAAGCATATTTTCTGTATCAATACCAAAGAAAACAACTGTGACATTTTTTTCAAGTTGTTCATTCACCGTCATTAATAAATTCACAGCTACCATGGATATCTGAAACCTTACATAAGTGTTTTTAGTTATGTTGCCATGAAACAACATATGCTTTATTTGGGTGTATAAAACTAAATTTATTGAACTGTAACGAAAAATACAAAAGTATATCCTCAGTAACAGCTTCGCTTCTTTTTAGTACTATCTAATGAATTTGTCTATCTTGGTTTTCTTTTGTTAATAAAACAAAAAGTATAAAAAATTCTACAAGAATTTGAAAGAAATAGTAAAGGGAGCTAACCCTTTACCATTCAAAAAATCAACCTTGAATTTGAAACCCTCACAAAGCCAGGACTCCGATTTGCAAACTACTGTCCAAAACAGGATCCCTTCTTGACGCCATGTGGTAAACTTGATCCCAAAACCTTCCTCTTTTGAAACTAACAGCTATAGTGACCACACATTTATTAGAGCTGTCTTTTCCAATGTTAATCTTTGTCAATTTTAACATCTCCAAAACTAAATTTCTCTCTATCAATCATCTGAGAAACCCTTCTCTGTCTTCTATCAGCATAGCTGCTTTTATTCTCCAGAAAAGTGACTCATTGTGCCTTCTCAGGCTAACATTCTCAGCTGACATGAAATGGAAAGACTATATTGAATCCATTGCTAGGTCAGCTGCTAAGAATGTCGGTTCACTGTGTCGAGTGAGACAATTCTTCTCGCCTGTATCTATCTTGCATATCTATAAGTCTACCATTTGTCCATGTTCAGAATATTGCTGCCATATATTGTCTGGTGCCCCTGCTATTTACCTGGAGCTTCTTGATAAGATCCAAAGAAGAATCAGCAATATATATCTGTCAGCTTGGCTTTAGTCACTTGTCCACTGCCTAAGGTTACCTCCCTTTGCTTTTTTTTTTATAAATACTAATCATGGTAACTGTTCGAATGAGCCCTTTGCTATTTTGAGCACAATACTAGATTGGTGGCAAGATTGCATCAATTTACAGTTGAGCTAGCTAGATGTTGCTGCAACTTTGATGCTAACAGTTTCTTTTCTTGCACCTCTCACTTGTGGAACTCCCTTCCAGCTCCATGCCTTCCAAACAACTTTAATCTGCAAGAATTTAAATACTATACCAATTGCTCTCTTCTGTCATTCTGAATGCTCTTTTCTCTTTGTACTCATTACTAATGTTTCTGTCCCTAATTCTTCCACACCCCATAATCCCTTGCATGTTAGTGGCTGTACTGCCTTGCTTGGGGTGACACTGATTTAAAAAAAAAAAAAAAAGTACAGAAGCCACAAGGCCATAAATCCCACTTGTTCCTTGGATACTCTTCTAACACAAATATTAATTATATTGGCAAGTGTTCTTTTTACCCTTGGACATTAAACCTGTTGAATTTAATACTGTTGTTGAGTTTCTGTTCTTCAAGTGTGTGTGTCTTTGTGGAACTTAACTGCAATTGAGAAAATCTTTATATCAACTTAAGATAAACAGTGAGATTTATTTTATTTTTATTGCTATTTAGACAAATATTTTAAAAATCATGGGAAAAAATACATTCTTATAATCTTAAATAATTATTTTTACTCTAATAAAAATGGTAATATTAGCTGTTTTCTTATATGTAAAATATTTGTCATTCATTAACCAGACAGCCAGTGCTACAGTAGGCTGACATTTATAAAATCTTTCTATTAAAACAGCTTTTCAGGAAGGTAGATTTCTCAAGTCCATTGTTATTGTTCTTTTGAGAACAAAGCACATAAACATGTCACATAATTTATGTATATGATTATGTAGCTTTAACTATAAAAGATGTAGCCATTAAACAGAAGTCAGTTACTTGAATGTTGTTGTTCAGTCAAAAATGATTAAATGATTTTTTTTTTTTTTTTTAAACTAAAGAAAATTCATCTTTGTTCAACTTCTCAAATCAATATGTTGAATATAGAAAAAACTCAATCACAAAATTCCAGTTTGGTTTGGCTTGATTTGTTTTGACGGTATATCAACCTCAATAGGTTATTTAACCCTAACAAAATTTTTATTGTTGGTATTTTTTTTTTTCAAAATTGTATTGCTGGTAATAATTTTTCTTCAAAAATTTATTGCTGGTAATATTTTTACAAAGTATTCTGGTATTAAAATCTATTTTTACATTTTCATAGTGTTTTGACCCCAATTTGGGGTTACTATTTACCCATAGCTGGGACCCTAACAGATGCTACCACCCCGGGTCAGGGCGGACCTGGGAACACCAGCAATTAAGAGGTGGTTCCACACTCCTCAAAACCTCCTGATCAGAGGCCTTGCTGTTGGATGTAGTTTATCATCTTACCCAGAACGCAGATGTAGCTTATCGTCATACCCAGGACAGACAAAATTTCAGGATTTAATCATTCTTCATATGACTGAGAGAGTAAGATCCCTGATTTATTAAACCAATTTTATTATAAGTTTTAAAAATCATATCTATAAATAATCAATACTCAATTAACAATCATGCCCTGTGATTTTTAATACTGATTATACCTCAAGCATTTTCAGATTTGAAAGAATCCTTTGTGTCTTAAAAACTATTTAACAGACAAGATTCCTTCAGAAAGAAAAATTGTTGCCACAATACTTTATCACATTTTTCAAGTCTGGTTTTTTAAGAGAAGTAATAAACACAACTGACTTTTATTTTGAATGTACGGAAAGAAAAAGTCTCTTGAGTTAGTTTACGAAATGAAGGAGAATGCCAAGGCCTCTTTAGATCTCCCACCTGCTTCTGCTTATTTAAGGAAACAGAAATAAAACCTTTGGTAATGATGAGGGAAGAAATTAACTAAAAGGAAAGAAAAAAAAATTGTCTTGAGAGGTGAGCAATGGAGAAAACTGGGTAACGGTGAGGGACTACTTTTTAATGAGCAACACAGAACTTATACTATCAAACTTTTTTCTAATCAAGCTTAAATAAACTAACCTCTGCTGGTGGCCAGATGCCAATATTGGTCAGACATTACGAGTCCAGGTATACAAAGTAAAAAAAAAAATATATCTATCAAAAATAAGGAATTGGGAGTGGAATAAAGTTACCAGACAAGAAAGAGTTACAACTACCAAAAAAATGTAATTTCCAAACACATTTCGTAAGAGGAAAAACAGCTAAGTTTAATTCTGTTTTATTATATATTAAGCACTACAAACATTACTAGAATTTAAGGCCCAAAATAGTATCTTAAAAGAAAGATAAAAATTGAGTAAAATAATGAGTAGCCCATAAGAGATTGTTTGATTGAATTTTTGTTTATGGTTTATTGACTTGTTTTGGGTTATAGAAAGCTGTCAAAGAGAAGGAAAATTCTAAATTCCAAAGTATAGAAAATTCATTTGGAAATCACTCCAATATCTTCCCCCAAAAATCATGTCAATTCACTGATAAAAATGGAATATGTGAAAAGTCATGATGGTCAAGCCCTGAAGGGAAATAATATTTAAAAAATATGTCTGTGTACATACATATATATATATATATATATATATATATACACACACACATATATATGTGTGTGTGTGTACATATATATATATATATATATATATATATAAAATGAAATTAGTGATTGACATTGTAAGAATTAGAATATATAGGATTTGCATGGACTGTTCCCTTCTGTTCTGCTATTTACCCAAAGCTGGTGGGTTTTAAGAAGCGATGGGTTCATACTTTTCTCAAGTGTATTTGCACGTAAGTGAATGTAACAATCTGGAATTCGAACTTGGCTCCCTGATTTCTCATTCCAAGCGCCTCTCAATTACACCACTTTCACATCCACTAGTCAAGAAGGGGGGACAAAAAAAAAGAAAAAAAAAAAAAGGAAAATTATTACTGAACATATACAAACATAATGAATCCTTTTCATATGATGAAAAAAGTGTGTGTGTGTGTGTATATATATATATATATATATATATATATATAATATATAAAAAAAAAAAAAAAAAAAAAAACAGCTTTGATGGATTCATGATTAGGAAAACATTTTTACCTGTCAACATCAAAAGATTTGGTAAAAAATATCCCAAGAGAAGAGTTTAATCTCACATTATTTTGAGTCTCCAAGAGACGGAAGATATAATGATTATGAAGGAATGAAACAAAACCTCCAATCCTTAAATATCTTATTTGTCCATTCAAGTGTTTAAATTTGTCATTTTTTTCTTTGTTTAAAAAAAAAGAAAAAAAAGTATTACTAATCTGACTCCTACAAGCAACAATTATTTACCTAAAAAGAAAAATAAAGAGAAATAGTAACCAATGGTATTATAGGAGATTGTATTTTGCATATATACATAAAAGTGTGTATGTGTAAAAAATGTGTATAAGAAGGTGGATGTGACCAGGTTTGTATATGTAGGTGTGTGAATTTCTCTTGGGTTTACATAACAGTACAATAATGTAGGTGTTATGTATAAGTGTGCCATGGTAAAAAAAATGTTTCTTTGTGTGCATACATTCTTACCTATTGTTTGAAATGGCCCTTAACATCTTAATAACAACTCATACAGTGTGACTTGTAACACAAAAGACAACACAGAAAGAAAGTTTTGTCAGTGCAAAAGACAAAAACAAATTGTTATCATTCCAAGAGTTACTGAGACTTGATCTTATCACATTA